GTTAATTACGAACAAAAACAAAATCCTACTAAATAACTTTTTTCAGTAATTGGTTTGATTAAATAGAATAAAAACATTGTAACATTTTAGTAGAAGCAAGTTTTATCGGAAAGTTTTCTTATTAATATATATTTTTGTATATTCAGAAAATAATTGTGTTTTCTTTATATTAACCATTTTTTTTAGGAAAACAAAAGCAAAAATATTGTTTTTTATAACTGAGATGCTTTTACTAATAATTTCACAAACTAAAATATTATATTTTCATGAATATTATTCAAAATAATTTTTTTTTATAACAGTGGATTATTATGTGCCCGAAAAGTTGTGATCAAATACATTTCTTCTCGTTAATTACGACAGAAACAGAATCCTACTAATTAACTTTTCTCACTAATTGGTTTGATTAAATGAACTTTTGCTCATTACTCTTTCTGATATAAATATATTTACTTATAGACTTATTTATTTTCCGAAGCGGAAAATTCTGCAAAATATTTTCTCTCTGGTTTTTCAAGAAATGTGCAACAAACAGTTGTAAGTAAATAACTAAAATCGATAAATAAAATCTGAGAGAAAATTCTAGAGTATTTAATATTAATATATGCATAATAATATACATCGATTGCAGTTTTTCCACAGAATGTATTTTACTAGTTTAAATATTTAGTGTGAGTTTTCATATAAATATTGATTGAAAATCATACGTGGTGTTTGCATAAGCGTTCGTATATTTTTAATTAAAATATTTAATTAATTTTATGGAGCTTTTTTATTTTGCTCATTTCAAACAAAATGCAATTATTCTAGCAAAGAATAAAGAATGAATTCAGAATTAAAGGTATCGTCCTAGTTTGTAGAATTACATTATGATTGTCTGTAGTAAAGGAGTCGGTGGTAAAAAATATACATAAATATTGTTATAATATATAATAAGATTATAAATATAAAATATTTTTCTGTTACGTGAGAAAATAGTATTATAGCTAATATAAAGAAAAATGTTATACATTCGAATTTGAGAAAAAATATTGATTTATGTCTATGTCACGATGTATGTCCGCGATGTACTCCTAAACTACTGAACCGATTTTAATTTTTTTTTGCTCAGTTTGTGCATTTATAACAAACTTAGGTTATATGCTATATAATAAATCCAAGTTCATATTAGAAATATTACAATTTTAGAAATTTCAGTTAATTTTGACAGTATGAAAATACTTGTCAATGTTTCTGGAAACTGAGGAAAATCGATATATAATAATTTAGATGACAACAAGATGTTTGTCTCGAATGTACTTCTAAACTACTGAACCGATCTCTAATTTTTTTTGCTAATTATGTCCATTTATATTTAACTTAGGTTATAGGCTATATTAGAAACTTCAGTTTATATTACAAGTATTAAAATTTTTGAAATTTCTGTTGTTTTTGACAGTAGGTAAGCAGTTTCTGGAACATGTTTCTAGAAACTTGTGAGATAAATTGATTTATGATGATTTAGTCAAAGTTCCAAAGATATAAATCATAATTTATAATTAAAATATTACATTAGTCATAAATCAGAAAAAAGTTAGTAATTGTTTAAATAACAAATGTTTTTTTGCGATTTCAAAACTAAACAAATCTTGGAAAAATATTGTTTTATGTTTATGTCACGATGTATGTCCGCGATGTACTCCTAAACTAATGAACCGATTTTAATTTTTTTTTGCTCAGTTTGTGCATTTATATCCAACTTAGGTTATAGGCTATATTAGAAATTTCGGTTCATATTAGAAGTATTAAAATTTTAGGAAATTCAGTTAATTTGGACAGTAAGAAAACGTTTCTGGAAACTTTAGGACAATTGATTTATAATGATTTAGATAACAAATATATTATAAGCATAATTAACAGTCAAAATATATTAGTTATAAATTAAAAAAAAATATTGACAGTTAAAAAAAAAACATTTATGGCCAATTCAAAAATAAACAAATATATTCAAAAGCACAACGTTAATTCTTCAAAAAATTAAAATTTGAACACAGGGCAATAACATTTGGGATTTATATTTGAAATATAAAATTATTAAAAAAGCCAAATATTCAAGTGTGAAAAAAAATGTAGTAGAAACTGAATGGCAGCAAAAAAGAATTTTTTGTCAATTGCAATAATAATTAAAGTTAAAATAAAAATTTTGTTAACTTAATTAGCTCTTATTATGTTTGTTGGTAATGCATAATATATTTTTATTAAAGATTCTACAAAAAATGTCATAATTTTTTTTTATTATCAATTAAATATAAATGTAAATAAATTTCTGATTAATACTGATATATAATTGAGGCCCTTGTAAGAAATGAAGTTAAACAGAGAAAAAATAAATATTTTACATTTTCATTTACTTTTTCCACCAGCTCTACGTCTAATATCAATTTGCTACAAAGGCCGTTTGTGACAAAACTCTATCGAATTAATAGAGTCCTTGTTCGGCCTTGTTGAACATGAAAAGGATTTGATTGTCGATTTTAAAGCCGACAGAAACCACAAATTTATACTGACATTTTGTTAAAAAGCCATTAAATTAGTTATTGCAACATTGAAAATTGGGAAATTAATGAAAAATTATAATTTTAAGCAAAAATTGAATATGATATTTGGAAAATAATTTTATAATAGATATAAGAAGTATAAATAGATTGCAAGCACAGTGATTTTGTCATTACTTCAATTTTAATTGTTTGCGCTTTCCATAGATGGCGCTACTAATTGTAGCACGTAAATTTACCCTTCGGTAAAATTCTAGATATCTAGAATATAAATTATTTGTGTAAATGTATAATATATAAAAGATAAACGTGATTAATTTGAATAAATGAACTGAGAACAAAATGTGTGTGTATAAAATATTAGTTTTCACAAAAATAATGGATACAAAAATTAAACGTTTAAAGCGGGGCACAAAGTTCCCATTTGACTTTGAGCAATTATATTTCAAAAATCAAACCAGTTACATCATAACAAAGAACACATATCAAACAAACAACTATCTGACTATGTTCAGTAAAACCTCCAGCTAATTGATTATTGTAGAAATGTATTTTTTTATATAAATTGCAAATTGTATTGTATTGTATTGTATATTATATTGCAAAAACCAAACCAATTACATCATAACAAAGAACACATATCAAACAAACAACTATCTGACTATGTTCAGTAAAACTCCTAGCTAATTCATCATTGTAGAAATGTATGTTTTTCAAAAATTTGTCACATTATTCTTTTTACCACATAGGGAAATAGGTCCCATGTCTCATTTTTAATTTTTAAGGAATTTTACAAAATAATAGCTACATTATGCAACCAATGCAAAATATACATTTATGGGTACATTTTTAACAGAGATAACAAAGTGTAAATAACCTTGATCTGGTATTTCGTCAAAAATATTCATCAGCAGAGTTAAAACTAACTTTTGTAAAATTGCTTCTGTTGACTTAGTTTACTATTTTATTCACTATATCTTATTTTTTATACTTTTGCCATGGTAAATGTTGGGTTGGTTCTTTTTACCCCACTCAGGTGTAAGCTTTTATAAAGAGTTATATAAAAAAACTGTTGAATCTAACTTAAAATTAACAATACATCTTATAAAAAGTATAGTTAAAAATTATGTTAAGGTCTCGTAAACTAAACAACAGTGCAAAAAATAATTAGTAAACTATGTCAACCGAAGGAATTTTACAACAAATATAAATAAAATTAATTCCAACTCTGTTGATGAATATTTCTGACAAAATGCCAGATCAAGGTTATTTACACAGTGGTATATCTGAGAAAAATATACCCATGAAATTTATATTTTGCATTTATTGCAGAATGTAGCAATTATTTTGTAAAATACCTTTGAAATTAAAAAGACAATGAATCTGTTTGTATCTTTTTTATATCATATATTTATATAAATCTTAACTAGAAACTAGTGGGGTGTATGGCATCGTGCCTTAAGGCAAATTGCTGGAACTTTCCGTACCGTAACGAAATGATCGAGGAATATTAAATGTTTTAAAATAGAATATAAACTAAATTGGAAAGTTAAAATTATTTGTTTAAAGTATATTAGAACAGAATTAAAATAAAAATCTGAATCATTTTTTGAAAAATTTGAAGCAAATTTTTTTTGCCAAAATCAATTATTTTGTAAAAACAAGCAGAATGTTTTTGGAATCATTCAAATCGGACGCTTAGTTTTCTTAAAAACTGCCATTTGTTGCACATTTAGCTCTGTATCTCCGAAACCGCTAGACCTGCCTTTGCCAAAAACTAATCACCCCTTCTCCCCGTCATTACGAATTGAATGTTTTTGGGATCATTCAAATCGGATGCTCCGATTTCTCAAAAACTCGATTTGTATTTTCGGCACTCTTTGCTCCGTATCTCCGTAACAGCTGGACCTGCCTTTGCCAAAAACTAATCAGCACATCTCCCTATCAATAGAAATTGAATGTTTTTTGAACTATTCAAATCGGTTAATCCGTGCGCCCGAAAACGTGGACGAAAAATTGTATCCATACATGCACACACACACGCACATCCTTTGTTTCTGAGGTATGCCAAAATGTTCAGAAACCTTCAAAACGTCGAGAAATGTGAAAAATTTTCAATTTCGATTTACGGTCCATTACAATAACTTACCCTACGGGAAGTTAATAAAACCTGTCGGTAAATTTACGTGCTACAATTAGTAGCGCCGTCTATGGACAGCGCAAACAACAAGAATTACAGTATAATGATAAAATCGAAAAAAACTAAGACTAAAAGAAAATACTTTTGTTATGTCTTTCCGAATATTGCCGTTTATCTCCCGATAGCAACGTCGTAAGAATCTAAGTGATAGCTAGTTATACATCTTTTGCCCTCTACTTGCAAATATTGTTAACTTTACTTGTTTTTGAGATACCGGCATGGAATTTTTTTCCCCAATTGCTTATAATAATCTATTTTTTTTCCAGGTTTCCCAAAAGTAGTACCGCCTCCAGGAACCACCGTGACGGGTCTCGGCCGCCGAACCGCCTCCTGCGAAACAGCCTCCCAAGGTTCGCCTCTCCGATGCGGCGAACTCCACCAGCGCGGAGGCTCTTTCAGAAGGCCTCCTTCTGGAACTTCCCTGGGAGGCTCTCAGATGCAGAGCGGCCTCCAATCGGGACAGATGGGAGGCCAAAATTCAGCTTCACCTTCTTTGCCTCCATTGGCGTTTTGTAAACGGAGACTTTCTTGGCCTGAGGTTCAGCAACAGAGCACTTCGGGGTAAGTGAAAAAAATATTATTTTATTAGATATATATATATATATATATATATTATATATATGTATATATATATATACTAGCAAACCCGACGAACTCCGTTTCGCTACCAGATGGTTTCGTGAGAAAGATGAAGAAATTTTTGTTTATTTTATATTTGAAAAGGAAAAATTTGATTTTATTACACAACAGTAATGAATTTATTTCGATTACAAAAATGAAGTGTCTTTTAGTTGAACTTCTCTAAGTAAATGAAAGTGAATCCGCAAATTATCCGTTTCATTGAAGTGCTCTCTGGTAAACCACATTTTTTGTTTTTTGGTCTGACGTTAACACAAACAAAGCGGATGGTTTCCCAACTCCGAATAACCGTTTAGGAGAAGTATCGAATCATACACCCGTACAGAAATTTATATATATATATATATATATATATATATATATATACTAGTTGACCCGGTTATAATTCTGAATGTAGAAGTTGCAAGTGGCAGCTAATATAAATTATATAAATAGTTTACCCATTGCAACGCATGCTGCATATAAATGTTCCCGATAAATATTATTAGTCTTTGCAAGTGCCAGGCAAATCTAAAACGGATATTTTTTAAATTGATTTGGCATGATTTGAAATTCAAGATTTTGATATATTATTACTATGCTTTTTATTAATTTATTCATTTTTGAATCCAAATATTGATTTTTGAATTATGTTTTTGTCATGTTTAAAGAATCGAGTAAGATTTTAAAGATATTTGGAAGAATTTTCAGTGCCCCCTCAAAAATAGTTTTGTCTTCAGATTTTAATAAGAAGTTTCTACATTTTTTGCTAAAATTGCTACTTTTGTAAAATATTCAAAAACTTTGTGCTTAAAGAAATTTAACTTAACATAAAGAAATATTTGTACAAAGCAAGAGTCCTGAAAATCAGTGATTTGCAATAAGGATCCATCGATATTTTGGTGTATCTAGTTTTATCATTGGTAACCTTTCCGACGCTAATATTTAAAAATTATTTTGAAAATAGATACAAAATGGATAGTGCAGATTTATTCAAGCTTTTTTATGAACTCAAAGTAAATATTTAAATAATCAAACTAAATCGGGACTTTGTACAAAAATTTCATAGGTGAACTCAAAGTTAATTAGATAGAAAAATATGTTTAGCAAATTTTTACACTTTTAGCTCAGACCGTTAAAAAGTTGAGAAAACTTCATAAATATTGATCAAGACACATTTATTTTATTTTATAAACTTTTAAAAATAAATCGTAGACATTTGAATTGTATATTAATATTATATTTATAACTGGAGGTGGTTTAAATTGTAAAAATGTTAATATAAGTAAAATTTCACACTTTTGATTCAAACCGCTAAAAATCTATATAAGCTATAGAATGAAACATTATAAATTTTAATGAAATATTAGATCTTCTTGTTAAAGTTACAGTAATAATAAATTCATTCAAATCCAGATTGTAGTCTGGATATAATTAATAATTTATGACTTTTTCAAAATATTAAGAGTAGACGTCTAGATATAATTAAATTGACCTTTCTCAATAATTTATTATTATCACCGAATTTTTAAGAAATATTGCGAATGCGCTAATAAAATATTATAGATGTTATTTGTAAACATCGTTTTTTAATTTTTCTTCATTATATTTTTTGTTATAATAAAAGCTTGCAAATTAGTTTTAGCTGAAGCTTTGTTTTTAATTTATTTATTTGAAAATGTGTATAAGTTTTGTGTTTTTTTAAAATTCCTTAAAATTGAAAATATTTTTTTTATAGATTTTTACGTTTCAACAGTTTCTGAACATTTTGGCATATCTTAGAAAACTTGATGTATGTGTGTGTGTGAATTCTAGATGGTGCAGTTATCGTAAGATCCTTTCTTGCTTTGTTTATATAAAAAATGCGGTTGATAGCATATCAAATAGATAGACATTTCCACAGTTTTTACTACCAAGAAATAAGCGTAAGATAGGGTTGCCTTGGCAATCCTATGTTATGAGGATAAAACCCCATCAGTTAGATATTTTCTAGAAATTTATCGATAATTTCATGCATCTAGTTTTATCGGTTATAACCTTTCCGTCGCCAATATCTAATTTAATTAAGCTTTTTTATAAGATCCAAGTGAATATTTAAATATCGTAACTAGTTAATGAAACAGCAACAAGTCAAAATATAAAAAATCAACAAAAAATGAGACTTTACTTAGATGAAATATAATATTTTTTGGAACGAAAGCAGAAGTTGACATAATAGGTTTGATAAATTATTAACATAATCAAATCAAATATTAATTAAAATTGTGATCATCTTCTGGACTTAATTAATTTGACCTTTCCAATCCACTAATTATTAATGATTTTTTAGAAAGAATTATGAATGATTTTAATGCATTAATAACTTAATTATGATTTCGCTTGTAAACACCATTTAATAATTCCTTTTTCCATGCATTTTTTTTATGTTTTAATAAAAGCTGACGAAATAATTTTAGCTGAAGCTTTGTTTTCAATTTATTTATTTGAAAATGTCAACATATTATGTATGTATTTTTTTAACATCCCTTAGAGTAATCGCAAGAAATCAAAAATGGAATTTTTTATTGTAAAATTTTTTCTTGCTTGTTTATATGCAAAATACGCCTGATCGCACAGCAAATAGATAGATTTTGTTATCCAATTAGTGTAAAAACTCTCCTCTAACAGTTTTATTAACAGAAAACGAGCAGTCTAAAACTCTCTGAAAAAATTATAAATACAATTATTAAAATTCACTCAACTTCAACAAATCCATCTATCTAGTCTAGATAATAAAATATAATAATCAATTCCACTTTGCCCGTATCGTTAATATATTTCTAGAAATATTTTCTTGTATTTCTTTTTTCAAAATCTTTTTTGATAAGTGTATTTAAGGTCGAGTGTTGGGTTTTTCGATGTGTATTTACATTTACAGAATCGACATCATTCAAGTACCTATGTTGTATTTGAAAAGAAAACTTTTCTCAATACCTCACCTGGGACGATGCTCTGCTATTTACATAGACTCATTACGGCCGCAATATTCTGAATACTTTTGCAATTTGATGTAAGAGATACCGTAATGGGCCAGAGGTGGCCATGGTAAAGGACACATTTTTATATCAAATAAAAAACGAAGTTTTCTCATAAGAGTCATTGTAAAATTTATATTTTCACAATAATGCCTAGTATCAAAAATGTGAAAGTAACTAGTAGTGTATGGCATCGTGCCTTAAGGCAAATTGCTCGAACTTCCCGTACCGTAATGAAATATTCGAGAAATTTCAAACGTTTTCTAATATATTATTACAAATACTGTAACTTTCATTATTTTTGCATTATCTTGTTAAATCTGAACAAATCAAATGTAAATCATAAATCAATTTATCTCCATAACATTAACAATCGTCATTTCATTTTGAATTCAATTTCAAAAAAAAAAAATAGTTGCCTAATTTACACAAAATTGAAAAAGCGCTTCAGTATACTCACATTCTGAACGCACTTGCAAATAATTTTGTGCGACATTTTCACTTAGACTATGCTTTGCTGGGCGGCATTTTCACATTTTTCAATAGTTTTCACAAAATTGAAAAAGTGCTTCAAAACAGAAATAGTCTAAAGACATCTGCTAAAACATTTGTACCAGGTTGTCACTTAGACCGTGCTTAGTGTGGGTGATTTTTTAAATTTTCAACTAAAAATTACATTTCTATAAATTATGCATTAGAGTTAAAATTAATATGCAAATCATTTTCGAAATTAAAAAAAATATTTCCAGAAGTAAAATGTAAATTTTGAAATAAATGAAAAATGTCTTTCTCAAAAGTTTATAGTTTGCTTCTCATTGTCAACAAAACCAAAATGTTTTTGAATCATTCAAATCGGATGCTCCGTTTTCTTAAATACATAATTTCTATTTTTTGCACTCTTTGCTCCGTATCTCCAAAACGGCTGGACCTGTCATTGCCAAAAACTAATCAGCACAATCTACCTATACATCCATACATTCATTTTTTCTATGGTATGTCAAAATGTTCAGAAACCTTTGAAACCTAAGGATAAATAAGAAATTTAGTTTTGATTTTTTTAATTCAATAAATTACTTCTCAAAACAATTTCTTTGCAAAAACAAGAAATTTTATGTATGAAATCTGAAATGGATGAAATTGTTCAGATTGTACTTCAACATGTATCGGCAAATCTGCATAAATTTTAGATTAGGTTATTATATACTTTTAATATACATAAATATATTAGAATATATAAAATCCTTCTGTATGGATGTACGGTTTGATTCTTCTCCTAAACGGTTATTCGATTTTGATAAATATTTTTAGAGTTTGTCAAAGGAAATTTTTTAAGATTTAATAAACGATAAAACTATAGTAATATTGTAGAAATAAATGGCAAAAATTACAAAAAAAAACACTAATCATTGTTTGGAAAACATTTGAGCTGTCATCTGCTAGAAATGTCAATTAACTTGAAATTTGAATTTAGCTAAAATTGAAATATAATATACAAGAAAAATGTATTGCCTGAGATGTGCCAGAAATTAAAATAATATAAGATACAATTAACAGTGTATGTGTTTGGCAGATGAAAATATATAATTCAGTTTAATAAGTAACGCAGACGAGTCCAAAATTGCATATGCATTATTTTTTTTAACTTATGCATCTTGCATTTTGGTTTAGTTTACTAAATTATTTAACAATACAAAAAATATTTCTACTTATTATAAAAATGATTTAGAATTTTGTTTCATGTATCATCATTTGTTTGGCATTGGATATGGAATATTTAGCAAGTTGATCTTAGATTGAATAGTGCACAAATGAACTAGATCTTACAAATTAATTCATCTAAGATTTGAACATAAACAAACAATAATGTTTATTAAATTATCAGTAAAAAAAATTTACTCTAGAAATTATGATTGCCTAAAAAAGACTAAT